GCAAGTTCGTCGCATGTGTGCAATCCACATCATTTTGATGTTTTTGTTACAGCCATTGCGTTTGATTGACGAGACCACAGATCTGAGATGTATTATCTGCCTGTATACACTTGTAGCAGCCATAACTGGAAGTCAGACAGGTAGGTAATGGGGCCATGGACAGAGTGATTTCAGCATCTAGGAACAGATTAAAGTGTAAGTAAATGTACATAGCACACAATCTTGGCATCATCTGTGGTCTAACGGTATAAAATGGTCTAGGAATAAATATCATCAATGGAGGATACCAATAAATAGCTTGACAACCGGAACGAGAAATATGAAAGATCAGTGCGACATGGTCGCCTGTTATATTTAGATCTACAACTTGAAGACCTGGAAAACACTCTCCACAACACAGTGACAAGGAAAATGGCTTCAGCATCCTTCATACAGAGCGTACAACTCAAATCTCCCTTTCATAGTTACAATTTTTGCTTGCCGAGGTGACGGTTACAATGTCTTCGTCAAATATTTGGAAAATTTATTCACTAAAATAAGCGTTACTCCTTGAACACTCCTTGAAAATAGTAAGAAACAACTGATTTAACGGCTATTGTAACATGGAAGACCACGGTATAGCTGACAAAACGAGAATCATCGCTGAGATCATTTTAACGGCACTGCCCTTGTAGAAATCCATACCATGTCCTGATCAAATGGATGCGTTTAATGCAACAGGTCCATCTTCCCATGTCAAATGACGAGCATCACATTATCAATACTGACCCAATATTGACACGATCGCAGCGGTTCTCAGGTTGCAGTATCGTTTTCTGCATGATCGACCAACTAGTTGTGATCTGTTTCTAATAGTAAAGTAGAACGCCTGTGAGGTGAGGTGAAATTGGGTTTTACGTCGTGCTTGAGAATATTTCTCTCATATGACGAAGAACGCCTGTGGGGGTTGATAAGTAACTGTGTAGGAAATTCAAGAATTTGAAACTTTCTCTACAATTGTCTGTGACGGTTCAGTTTCGATATATGTTATACATTGTCATGATGTTCTTAGTTCTTCAATGATATTTCTAACGAAACTCCTAATTCATAACACGTTTTGGAAATGTTGACACAATAATCACTGACTGAGTTTGGTTTTACGCCGCTTTTAGCAATATTCCAGCAACATCACGGCGGGGGACACCAGAAATGGGCTTCACACAATGTACCCATGTGGGGATTCGAACCCGGGTCTTCGGCGTGACGAGCCAACGCTTTAACCACTAGGCTACCCCACCGCCCCGACACAATAATCAAAGGGAGAGACACTGTATAGTCCACCGAGCTTTTTCCACGGCGTTCCAAAGGAGTACATGAATTCAGTAGGCGAACTTGTCGCATACGAAGCAATAACAATAGTCGAACATATGAAAGTGGAAATTACCAACGGATATTGAATTTGAACGAGTATTTTGTTTTCTTCAAATCCGTCCGCGTTGATACAACACAGTGAACACATTTCTATGTTCATTCATTCTGTTTGTGTTTGAGGGGACAGATGTGTTTATGGGTAACTGTTTCATGAAATTCAAATTTTGTCTCCAACTGTATGTAACACTTCGGTTTTGCTATATCGAATCTATATCTAATATTATACACTACACGCCAAAAGAAACGTTACCTCCTACCGTTATGAATTATTGAAAAACTCTTAAAGATATATTAAAAGGTATTAGTTTGCAAGAAATCTTAACAGCACAGCTTTGTGCAAATCACTAAAAATAAATTCTCAAATGCATTCATATTTAGGAGAAATGCATCCTTTTCAGAAGAGTTAAACTGTCCAATTTTCGTCCATGCCGAAATACACTAACAACATTGATTTAGATGTCCAAAAGAAAGTTTGAAATATAATTCTGCTTTGAGACAAAGATAAACCATTTATAGTCACCATTTTTCAACTATTAAAGCAATAAACAATTGTTGTAGAGTGTGTAATATTGTAAAATAATCATTGCTATGATTCCAGTCTTTTTCTCCAACATTTTCTGCTGATTTGCATTAGTGAAAACAAGTAAAACAGGTCTTTGCTATTGTGAAAAAGGGTTTAGGAACATCAAAATTAACTTTGTTAACATTTTTGCTTGCAAAGTAACATTTTTCCATTTCTTGTGTAAAATTAGCAATATCAATCGCCAAAACGCAGCAAAATTCAAGCAGTATTTGCATCCATTTCACATATGGAATGAATCTATAGGGTATGAAGAGAGCCTAGAATACATGATATGATAGACAAGTACGAGAAATATGCCACGATTAACAGCTGAAGAGAGAGAAAGAGCCATTGGGGTGGTGCAGATGGGGTCGACGTACAATGCTGTTGCCAACGCCATCGGATGCCACCGTATCATGGTTATAATACTTGTTCAGGGCTTCAGTCAGACTAGGGTCACCGTAGACAGACCAAGAAGTAGACGTCCACGCATCACAACGCCAGCTGAAGATAGGTACCTCCGTCACTAAGGCAGGAGGGTAACGTTTCTTTTGGCGTTTAGTGTATGTCATGTTGACCATTTAAACATAATTAAAAACCTTTAAGGTCATAAAACGTAATTTTCAGTTCTTTTTGTAATAGTGCTATAAAAATCTATGGGATAGATAAATTCTGAATACCTTTCTCTATTCATTCATTCTATTTGTGGTTCTTCTATTTAGTCTGAGGGCACATCTTATTTATGCCTCATATCATATTTTCCCGTTATGTTTTCAATTTGTAAGGGCTATGGAATAGAGTAATAGAATGTCATGAAAACACCACATCATGCAATTTTTGGTTCTTATAAACAGAGACCGATATATGGTCTCTGTTTTAAACAATTATTTGCAACATGTAACATTTGGACTTAGAATTAGCGCGGCCACCACGTGGCCTAAATAGGCTACTACGTGTCTTTACTATAGAGAATCGGTGTTTATCAAATTCAGTATCTAAAGATGTAATGTATAGTAGTATAAACACCAAAGTGTGTATTTGAAAAGGGAATGAACTGTATCCAGTATTGTTTAGATAGTTGATTAAACATTTTGGGAAATTTGTTTTATTGAAGATTACAATAGTTCGTCATTGTAATCTAGACATAATATTGTGGTAAAGCCACGTTAGAGTTATCAGAACGAAACTGTTAATCACTTTGTGGACAAATTGTAGAAATACGCTTATTGTACGCAAATCGTGAAACCGTCTCGTTCTAGGATAGAACAAACTCAAAGAGACCACTTATTTTAGTTGGATGAAACCATAGTCATACGCACTGTGACTATGCTGTGACCGAAACACATGTGCAGTTTACTGTAATTAAAAGCAAGGAACAGTGCAAACGAATTAGACATATTTAAATAAATATACATTGCTTCATGACTTCACAGATGGTGCAACATGCCGGGATTCAAGTCCAACGTTATGTATCAAGAGTCGTTGTGGGAATCCAGGTATCGCTGAAAACTGCCGGAGGACGTGCGGTCGCTGTAACGTAACGGGTTTGTGTTGCTGTCTATATATTTGTATTCCTTCCAACTTGAACACATGCAGAGATGTATGACAAACCAACATTGATACAGTAATATGTGAATTGCTTATGTGGCATATTAAACAATGATTCTGTGTCAGTTAAGGCTATCCATGGTGAGATTCATAGTACCAGGGTGCCGTTGTACAAAGCGACCTTAGCGCTGAGGTGAGCGTAACTCCCATACCTGAACATAGCCATAAGCTATTCTTAGCGCTAGGGTTGTTTTGTACAAGGGCACCCTGGCTTATCAACACCTTTTCACCTTAATCGTCAAGATATGTCAAATGATTGCAAATGATAAAATGTGCCCAACTGTATTAATGTTTGGTCATATTGTACTTGTTCACATCTGCTTCATTTCGCTTTGAAGATAACATGAATGAAGCTTCGAATTCCCAAATCGAAACAATTATGATCTTTTTCATTAAAAAACCCGTAACCATTTTGGTTTGGCTGAAATATGATCAATATAAAATATGATGAAAAACTGCTGTAATTGTCTAAATCTGAGGTACTGCTTGTGCATAAACGTCATAACGAAATGACGGATAATCCATAATTCATTTTTCTGTATTTCATTTTATTAGATTGTGCAGTAGGTATGTACCGGACTGGCGACTCATGCACAGAATGTCAGAGACAAACTCAGGATGACCATGATGAATGTACCAGAACGTGTCCGGAAATGGGAAGATGGGGAGACGCATGTAGCAAACGATGTGGAGTTGGATGCCGGAATCTGGTGTGCTATCAGTGGTCAGGGGAGTGTGCTCATGGTTGCATTGGGGGGAAATATGGACAACGTTGTGACCTCAACTGTGACCACTGTGGTGTCTGTGGCGATGGAGTCTCGAACTGTGACCGTGAAGATGCTTCTTGTATCTGTGGGTGTTCAGGAAACTTGTACGGAGTTAAATGTAACAAACATTGCAATAGCAAGTGTCTAAATACATTATGCAATAGTACAACAGGTGCATGTACACATGGGTGCATAGAGGGTAGGTTTGGATGGCAGTGCAACACAGCCTGCAGTGCCACATGTCTGCACGGTACATGCTACCAGAATGGATCATGCATGACGTGTGTACAGGGATATCATGGTGAACAATGTCGGGAGAGGTGTTCCAGGAACTGTGGTAGTGAGACATGTAGTAGAGATGGGAGATGCAGTCCTTGTAAACCTGGCTACTTCAAAACACACTGCCAGGAGAAATGCAGCGACAATTGTCTGAATGAAACCTGCAATCAGAACGACGGGAAATGTGATTATGGTTGTGTTTCGGGCTGGCATGGCGACACCTGTTCTGTTAAATGTCCTGAGAACTGTGCTACCGACAAGTGCAGCAGAGACAATGGTTCATGTTCAGATGGATGTGTAGCTGGTGCTTACGGTGAGCACTGTACCCTGACATGCAGTAGCCACTGCACAGACATGGAATGTTCCACTAAACCTGTCTGTACTTTGGGATGTCAAGCAGGACTGTGGGGAGAATACTGTGACAACGAGTGTCCCGACCACTGTTCAGTGTGCAACAGAAGCACTGGGTCCTGCCCTGAATGTGAGCATTAACTATACTGTAACAAGTCTTGATATGATGACTGTCAGAAATGTATCTTGATATCCAAATGTAACTTGGGTAAAGTGTAATCCCAAATCCCACATATAGCTTGTGTTACACGTGGAACACGTTCTAAATAATATTGTATGTTCATAAATTGAGGCTGTTATGAATTCTATATTGTAGAGAAAATGAAAGTTGGATTTTAAAAACATAGTTGCCCTTATAAGATAATCTTAATAGTAAATGTATTTCTTTTCCTTTCTTGAAATACATTTATACTCTTGTCTGACTATTATCAGGGTATATATGCTGTTATCACTTCCTGAATTCACAGCTAGTCACGGTCCCAACATAACCCAGATTATCGGGCCGGCAAAGCGTTGTATGCTAATCTTCGTTCTACTGGAGATTACCGTGACAAGTGTAACACGACGGTGTTATGTGCCCTTTGATGTTAAGACGGTTTCTGTGCTCAGATTTGTGTTATGGGTCTATTTAAAGGTATTTATTTGTTATTTAACTAGCTACACATATTACAAATGGTAAAACAGAGGGCACAGCTTACAATTGCAGTCCTATTCTGTGGCTTCTTTAAGTAAATATTTCACTGTGAAACACATTGCATTGTTTCCAGTGTAGGTAAAGGGTAGGCTTGGCGAAATTTAGTATAGTATATTTAAGTTCATATAGAAGATAGAAGAATATCGAATGAAAGATATGAAAACAAATTGTCAAATAGCAAATGTCAGGTAATCAGTAAGCTGTGTCATATTCATCATGATGTAAAGAATATACATCGATATTATCCTCTCTCAAGCAAATAAAGCAAAATATCTAAAGAGGCTGTGGTTGACGTTAGTGAGTGTGTTTGTTTGAGGAGTGGTAGAACGAGTGGCACGAGATTTACGTAGATTTTCTCCAGTGTGACAAGAATCTCAATCCAAGTACAACTATTGCTTTCCTTACATTCATATTCCTTGTCCATGTTTCCTTCTGAAACTGAAAGGTTGTACAGCATCAGAGAAATAAGCTTTGTATTTATATGAAAACTCGGCAGATACTATCCATCACTCATCCATCCATACATCCATCCATCCATCCATACACCCATCCATCCATCTATCCATACACCACATCCATCCATCTATCCATACACCACATCCATCATCCATAAATCCATCCATCCATCCATACACCCATCCATCCATCCATCTATCCATACACCACATCCATCATCCATCCATCCATCCATCCACCACCATCCCATCCATCCATCCTATCCATACACCATCCATCCCATCATCCATACGTCCATCCATCCATCCATCCATACATACATACACATACATACATACACACACATACAGACAGACAGACAGACATACATACAGACATTAGAATTATTCTGCTGTACTGTGCAGAGAAATATTACGATGCTACTGTTGTCATAGTTTCAGGGTCCCTTCACAGACTTGTCGTCGTCTTGCCAGCATGTCTCGGTGTTTTCATCCTTGTCATTGCCGTCATGATCGTCAGGTGAAATCTTTGCAAACTCTTTTTGATACAAGCGAAAGAAATTGCGCCGGGTCAAACCTTATAACATTAACAGAAATGCCCTCTTGGTCTGTGTGTATCTGAAACCTTTAACATATATTCATGAACACCTTTAACGACTTAACTTGTTTCTATCAGGAGGAGAGAGTGTACGTCTTGTCCGGGTTTCCACAGAAGTATATCACCAATCAACCCTGACAGCAGACCAGAAGAAATCTCACTGCAAGAGTTTAATGTATCACGCAACAGTGAAAATTCTCAGTATGACGTGATCCCGGATATAAATAACGACCTCGCTGTGGAAGAGAGAGACTACGAACAACTGCAAGCACCCCGACCAGACACTGGCTACATGCCGTTAGTATATACTTGGCAGTGAGATAAACTTGAGTGTCAGTAAAAGATCCTCTATTTATTACCTGTGTCACTGCAATTTGATGATGTCATCAACAGTGTCTTATTACCTGCAACAATATTTCTATCAATATTGCGTGTATGTATATATTGTATATGATCTTTGAATGCTTTCCTGTATGACTATAGGGTTTTCAAAATACGTACTTTTGTCCTCACAAGCACGGAAATGAGACATGAAAGGATTATTACGTGATGTCTTAAATGCAACTATATTCGTTGTGTGTCATGTAGAGTAGTGTTTGACAGTTCCTATGTAAATGGGCGGTCGGGCAGCCTAGTGGTTAAAGCGTTCGCTCGTCACGCCGAAGACCCGGGTTCGATTCCCCACATGGGTACAATGTGTGAAGCCCATTTCTGGTGTCCCCCACTGTGATATTGCTGGAATATTGCTAAAAGCGGCGTAAAACTAAACTCACTCACTCACTCCTATGTAAATGTCAGGAACAGCAACAAATATATCTCTAATTTTGTACAGAGTTGCTCACATATTTTTGTAAATAAATCATTATAAAGTCGTTTATTTACAATGCGTTCTTGATAGATTCCTTCGCCCTTCTGACGTGTTTGGAAATGGGCGAAAATCAAAATGTTATAAGATATTTGCATTTTTCCTTAACAGAATATACATGATACACTCAGTAAGGTCAGGTCAGCCCCCTCAGAAAAATAATTGTTTCATTCACTGGTAAGAGTGAATGACCATTCATAAAGAATGGTGAATAAAAAGAGATTGGTACTTATTCCACTGTAGTAATCGACAAAATGCTTTGCCGCTTTGGGTAACCAAATGGAATATACTTAAAATCAGTGCACATCTTGACTGGACATGCGAAATACGTACAGGGGAGTCAAGTAATAAGTTTGAAATTACTCGAATTACATATAACGGTATGGTAGTTTTGGTTGTCGCAATTCTTCACAACTGCAGAAATGTTGGTACGTTTAATCCGAAAAGAATACATTTGATGAAGATGCTGATTTTGCAACACAGTGGGTGGGTGATTGTGTTGGAATGGGTAGGAGTAGGGGAGAGGGCGGTTGTATGAAACATGATATATGTATGCGTATACTGTGGAAAGGGATCCTGGGTAATGAATGACAGTAGCACAAAGATGGCTACATTATGCATAGTTATGGCTACAAAATGTAATTTCAGAAAGAAATATGTATGGAAAGTGTTTGATGCAGACACAATAGATTGTGGGTAGGTAGTTATATTTGTTATGAATGTCATGTTCTTTGCAAGTACGAATGCTTGCTTTCAAAGACATTTTGAAACAAATGTCCACCAACGTTTAACAAGTGTGAAATGGATAAAACGTTATGTTCGAAAGAGCAATGTTGTGCGAAAATGGAAACCCTTACCTGGAATTACCTGCATTTTGAATACAAATATTTTACGCTTTTGTAACAGCGGTCTTTTAATGCATTTTGAAATTGAGAGCATTTTCAACAACAAAAACATGGACACACTGTAAAGGCGGGGCTATGCGATTAATGAGGTTATGGTGGTCAGTTGTTTCATCAGGATCATATCATTCGGTAGTTTTGTTTTATTGAGAGTATATTCTTATTTAAATGAAACCAAAACGGGTGTTCGATTATTCCCCTGTTCTATCTTATACCAATCACCACTTCTCACAAGTGGTCTCTTGAAGTGATTTCATATGTTTGACGGTGACTGTAACAGACAAGTGAAAAGCTATGCGATTTGATTAGAATGATAAATTGTTTTATCTCTATGATTGACTGTGATTGACTTTGAAAAACATGAAACAGGTCGTTGCAGTTTCCTGACTAATGAACAAATGATATATCATATCATATAACAAATAAGTCTTCATATGTTCATATGGCTTTGTTGGCAGAACGATCTGAGATACCATTTCCTTGTCAGGCAAAGATACTAGATGACACTACAATGTCCTGCAAACCCCACCAAACACATAGCTGCCGTGAACTTCAGTTTTTGTTGATAAAAACATTTTTCAGACTCATTTCATTGCACACACACGCTCACACGCACACACATACACACACATGTAAAATATCATCATCCCACATGTTCCAGGGGCTGTGGGGTAGCCTAGTGGTTAAGCGTTCGTTCGTCACGCCGAAGACCCGGGTTCGATTCCCCACAGGGGCATATTGTGTGAAGCCCGTTTCTGGTGTCCCCCGCCATGATACTGCTGGAATATTGCTAAAAGCGGCGTAAATCCCAACCCACTCACTCAATCACTCAATCACTCACTCACCCAATGCTCCACATACATCTACACTCAGGTGAGGCAGTATGGGTACGAATATCCAAACATGACATTCGTTAATGCACGTCCACCGAAGATATGGTTCAGCTAGAACTGACAATGGTAATTTCGCTGAGCCAGGACTCTCACTAACTCCAAATGAATATGTTTCTTCTCACACTAACTGTAAACACAATGACAAACTATCCTTTCATCATGTTTATAACTGTTCACTCTTAGATAGAACATATTGTCTATTGCTAATATATATTATAAAATTGACACTTGAACTACATAATGTGGCATGCACATTGGCATGTTTGTAGCACACTATACAATACCAAGTTGGAATGTTACCAACGGTGGGGGTGTCAAATTACAATTGGTGTTAAAGTGTCAATACACAATGTTATGTGTCAGTGTTCACATGGTACAATATCACTTGCCCATGGAAAGAGGAATGTGATCAGTGTTGTCTGTGATTGTCCAGTATTCACGAGGAGCACCGAGAAAGTGTCTATCAAATCCTGCGTTTAAGGAGGCACCAGGAAAGAAAAAGACTATAATATTGATCTGTGACTTTCTATGGGCTAACATTGTGTCCTCAAAAGTTGAGGTGTGAATTATTATGACATTATGATTGTCTGTTTTTTGTTTGTTTTGTTTGTTTTTTCTAATGCTATATCAACCCATCACTGATAGTACTGGTATTGTAATTTATATTTTCAGTGTCAGCGGCATGGTATTTCTTTGAAGCTTCACAATCATGTGTTGTACTCGCTTTGGGTCCTTAACCTGGTAAATGTTGAGCTACAAGCAGGTGATGCTTTAATTTATTTATTTTTGTGGTTTTTTTTACGCTCTAAACTCATGATGGACGGTATGGTTTGATTATGATTACTGGTGTTTGTAGATTCTTTTGAGGTCATAACCCGTTAAATATTCTCCTAAATGAAATTAGCAGTATTATGATTCCATTTTAAAGACGCTACATTTTTTTTATTTGATAACTATATCACGAGAGGTCACCATGATCTGATGGTCACGGGTGTTTTTAAGAATACATGTGTATCAGCGTTGTCGAATAACATACTCATGAGTGATCGTGCTACGTTCAATAAATTTATAGTATTTTGCATTCATACAATGTGCTCAATAAGCTATCTGTGCTAATTAACACTTGACTCAACTACTGTATTATCCAAATCATTATTATACATTTGTTCATTACCCTTTTGATTTCCGTCTATGGTAAAGCATTGAATATGTCTATATAGAATAGGATATGTAACAAACAACAGTACAACAGTACTCACGTTGTTTCACAACACAATGCATCTAATAGCACAGGTATCCAGTCCGTTTTGGTTGTGCCCCGAACATGCATCCTTAACACACACATTCTCGTGCTAAGCGCCCACATCGTGGTCTCTCGCAATGGACATGAGTCGACATGGATACAAACTTATTACTGTTAACTATGATATGATATAGATATTTTGGGCAATTGATATGAATATGATTAACTCTCTCTCTCTATGTATATATATGTATGTATGTGTGTATATGTATATATGTGTATGTGTGTATGTGTATGTATTTGTGTGTATGTTTATGTGTATACATGTATGTGTGTGTATGGTCACGGGTGTATATGTGTATATATGTGTGTATATATATATATATATGTGTGTGTATGTATATATATATGTGTGTGTGTGTGTTTGTGTGTTTAAATCGCAACCCGTTAAACAATTGCTTAAATGAAATTGACACGTTTACGGCTTCATTCTTAAAGCGCATGGACGCTATGTTTTGATCTGATAATTATGACATAAGAGGTCACCATGATCTGAATAACATACTCATGGGTGATCGTGCTACGTTCAATACATTCATAGTCGTTTGCATTCATACAATGTGCACAATAAGCTATCTGTGTCAATTAACACTTGACTCAACTACTGTACTATACAAATCATTATTATACATTTTTTACATTACCCTTTTTATTTCCGTCTATGATAAAGCATTGAATATGTCTATATAGAATAGGATATGTAACAAACAACAGTACTCACGTTGTTTCACAACACCATGCATCTAATCGCACAGGTATCCAGTCCGTTTTGGTCGTGCCCTGAACATGCATCCTTAACACACACACACACGCACACATTCTCGTGCTAAGCGCCCACATCGTGTTCTCTCGCACATGCACATGCGTTGACACGGATACAAATCTCCTCACTACTGTTAACTACGTTTTGATGTAGATATTTTGGGCAATTGATATGACTAAGACTTTCATTTATAGGCAATTTGAAAACATTATATATATGAAATTTTCTCGAATTTTCCTTTCACTAAATAGACAAATGTTTTTGTCTTTGTATTTCCTGTTTTACCCTTTCCTCTTCTGTTTGTTTGATTATTTCTGTTATGAATGTGACAAGAAAAGAATGCCCTTGTTTTGTTTACGTATTATATCATTAAGTTATGTTGTTGGTGTGTGCCTATGCAGTTTTGCATCCTCAAGACCCACTGTCTACTATATTTGTCACCAGTTTCTAATTTTCGATGTCGGTTGAAATATCACAATATAGACAGGCAGTGGGTACATTTGCTGCAGCACTTCATTCTAAACACTCAGGTAAATTTGCTCTTTATCAACATCTATTCAAATTTCGTTGTCTGTATGGCAGTTGTGTTTCCATAATGATTTCACTTTTGTTACTGTGCTGTGGAGATATCCATCCTAATGCATAAATGCTTTAAGGATAGTCCATCTAAATGTACGTAGTCTTAAGGAAAAATTAAGATAATTTAAGAGTTGAACTTGGATTTTATGATGTGATATGTCTAACCGAAACTTGGTTAACTTCCGATACAAATAACATTGATATAAATATTCCTGGCTTTCATCTACCTTTCCGTAAAGACAGACAAACTCGCGGTGGCGGTGTAGCAGTCTATGTGAAAGATACTATTTGTGCGTTGTTGATGTCTGATTTAGACATAGTCGGACTTGAGGCGATATGGATACAGACTAAATGTAAAACAAGAAACTACCTGATTGGAACTGTTTATCGCGCCGACAAGAGCTCCGAATATTTGAATTTGATCGATGAATCAATAGGTAACGCAGTTGATCTTAATATGCAGACAATTTTAACCGGTGATTTCAATATTGACGTTCTTCATGGCAATAATCAAAAGATAGACTATATACAAAGTTACTACGGCCTTCGACAAATAATCACGGATGCTACTA